GAGAGAAATGGCAAGTTACCTACAAAGGATATCCCATCAGACTAACAGCAGACCTCTCATCAGAAACAATATGAGCGAGGAAAGAATGGGAAAATATATTCAAAGTGTTAAGGTAAAAGCAGTTTCAACCAAGAATACTGTACCCGGCAAGATTATCCTTCAGATGGGAAGAAAAGACAAGATAATTGTCTGTTCTTGAAAGAATTTACCAGCACCAGACCAGATCTCCAAGTTCCCAAGGGAGTGCTATGTCAGGAAAATTAAATGCAGACGCACAGAAATAAGAAAAATCAAGCAAATGACCAACTCAATCATAGGGACAAATTTGGAGTTGAATATTATATCCCAGAATTCAATCGGGAAGATTGAACCACCACAGAAGATAGATTAAGTCCATGAGACTGAACTGGTGAAATAGCATTCTGTGACTTTTGACTAAAATAGTGCAGCTTTTCTTCTAGGCTTTGTTGTCCAGTTTTAAGAGTTTTTGTCCTGTCTTGAGCTGTTAATAGGTTCATGTACCTACTATTGGAACAGAATACTAACCTGTTTTCAGGCTTTAAGTTTTAAGCAAATTTCCTTACCAATTCAAAACTGCTTTTTTTGAAATTACTAGCTGAACTTGCTACTGAAAGTAGTTAGATTATTTAAGAAATTGTGTCATCAATAAAATGTGGGAGGGAAAGGAATGAAAGACAACTGTAGACACCAGAGATAGTGTGAGAAGAGGGTGGGAAAGGGCAGAGGGTCAGACATAGGAGTAAATATATATTTATGAAATTAGAAATAGAAAATTTTTGATGATAACACACATGATTAAGCCACTATGAAGTATATTCTGGATGGGAAACCACATTTTGTATGCTGTGACAATGTTTAGGCAATGAATGTAAATTAATTAATTTAAAAAAAAGTTTCAGGAGGAAAAAAATCACACAAAAACTGTTTTTCTTGAAATTAAAAACAATGCATATTTGATAACTGCAGTAAGCTATCTAGTCCCAGCTAGGTGCTACTCTATAGTATGTTTATTCTACTCACTGAGGTTTATGCCTAAAGTTAGACTTGTGTTCATGGATATGCATATATCAGCTGTGCTTACTATTGGAAATATTTAGATTAAGTTCATTAGCAAATCAATAAAATGGGGGGAAAAGGCATAGAAAGCAACCATGGATACCAGAGACAGTGTGGGAGGAGGGTGGGACATGGCAAAGGGTGAGAGAGAGGGAGTCAAGGATGACAAAAAAAAAAGCAAAATATACAGGAAACAAGAAATGGAAAAGTATTTGTTGATGCTAACATGTATGTTGATGTGCTTGATGGAGCTAATATACAGTGTATTCTGGATGGGAAATCTCATTTTGTATGTTGTAATGATGTATAGTGAATGAATGTAAATAAATAAATTTAAATTTAAAAAATATAATAAAGTTAAAAAATAACAATAAGAATATAAAAAGTTAAGAATATTAGAAAATGCAAATAAACAAAAAGAAAAAATTTCTCCAAATTTCACATCCCTAGAGATAGCTGCTGCTATCTTCTGGGATATATCATTCTAGACTTTCAAAAAATACATTTATTTCTGCAAGACTTTTTAATATGAATGTCAATGAAACTTCACATCTAATGTATTTTGTATTTTCATTTAATCCATATGTCTCTCTCACTCTGCACGTGTGTATACTCCTTTGGCATTATTTTGAATTCCTGAATGGCCTCTCTTATGTAACAGACCATAACACACATAACCAGTCCCCTCGTGTTAAAGATCTAGTCAATTCCTATATTTCAATACCATGTATACTACAAGAAATGTTATTGAAATATCACTTTTTTTTTTTCTTTTTAAGAGAGATTTTGTTATTGGGTACATACACTTGCCAGAGAGAGACAGACAGAAAATGAGAAATCACCCCCCACGGGGAATGGCCACACTGCAATCCCTTCTCCTCCATATTCTTGAAATCTGGGGCAAGCATGCACATGCAGCCAGCATGAATTTTAAGCCGCCGGGTCTGGGACTTAAAGCGTGGTTGACTATGTGGGAGTCCAGTGATATAACCGTTATGCCATCTGCTGGTCCCTGAAAGGTCACTTTCATACCAATCCTTAGTTGTTTTTTTCCAACGGCATAAATTCCTGAAAGTAGGTTTTCAAAGTTTTGAGTCCATTTTAAGGGTCTCTTTACATGCTGCCACACTGCATACTGACAGAGTATGAATGTCTACTCCCTACCATCTCGTCAATCAAGATTCTTGCACCTCTGATGGCCATGATGAATTCATAAAGGTAAACAGGTAAATAGAACATTTCCATACGAGGTTAGCAGGCATGGTGTTTATACAGCAAATAAGGCCCTAGTTTATGTGGAATGGAAAAATAAATATCCGCCCACTAGAATATTAATAAAGAGACAGTGTACACAGGGGAAATGAGTAATTGGAGAAAGTTTTTGCAAAGTGGGCATTATGGAAATGAAGAGGGCAAAGTATTAAGTAGAATAATTTTTTAGAACCTTGCCAAAATTTGGGACAATGCCCTTCTGTGGATCAGATTTACTACTTAGGTTTTTTGGTTTGGTTTGGTTTGGTTTTGTTTTTTAAAAAGCAATGACATGGAGGCTCCAGGACACCTAAAATGGAGACCAGCTAATTGTTATTTTACTGTTTCTTTGCATAAATCCATGCCAGATGCAACCAGGTACTAGTCACATTGTTTCAGCTCTCTACCTATGAGGGGTATTTTTAAAAATACATTTTATTGTGTATATCTGAGGTTTCAAACATAATGTTATGGGACACATAGAAATAACAAAATGGTTATTATAGTGAAGCAGATTCACATCACTATCATCTCACACACTTTTTTTGACAGAGCAGCTAAAATCTACTTGATTAACAATAATCCTTAAGATAATATAATTTTATTAACTATAATCTTCATGTATTTTCCCTGATTCTGAGTTGTCTAAGACCTTCACTTTCTTAGCTCACAATTTCTAATTCTAACCTGAGTTTCACATGTACAACCAAGTATTCTGACCCTTTTGGTAACCTCTCCCACAACACAAATCATGGGCTGAGATGACATTAAATTTCATTCCTTATCTCATTAAGATAGTTTCCAAGAGTAATCTTTCTCTAATTGATACATTAAAACAACAAGCAACCATAACTTCTGGATAAATAGCATCTTCTCCCAAAAATAAGATAAATGGGGAACAGCAGATGGCATAATGGTTATGTTGCTGGTCTCATACATAGTTGACCAGGGTTCAAGTGCCAGACCTGGCAACTTAAAACTCACGTGTGTGTGTGTGTGTGTGTGTGTGTGTGTGCCCAAAATCCATAGAAGAGAAGGGACTGCAGTGTGGCCCATGGGGGTGATTTCTCGTTTTCTGTCTCTCTGTCTCTTTCTGTCTCTCTGGCAAGTTCACATGCCCTACAGCAAAAATCTCTCTCTAGAAAAAAAAAATAAGATAAATTATACACATTGCTTTTCTTGCAAAAATAAGAATAATTTGTCTGCTGGCAAGGGAAATGCTGATCTTGATATAACTTAGGTAACTAGTACACAAATATATTGCAATCTTATTGCCCAAGTGAGAGGAAAAAAGTGTCACCAGTAATATGGTGGGTTTTATATGATCCTGGAAGTCAGAAACAGGGATTTGCTGGGTTTTCCAAGAACACACTTTCATTGTTATATCCATTCCTTGGGTTAGCAAAACCTTCCTCTGTGTAGCTTTAATGAATGAAGAACAAGGCCCCATCCTGCTTTTGAGGTTCTATCACAGCTGCCCAGCTAGAGTTAAACTTTAGCCTGCTGGCTTGTCTCTGGACCAAATGGGTTCCACTTTTTTTTATCTTGAGTTTATGCCAGCATATCCTTAATTGCTGAGAAGGATGATTTTGAGTCTGCATTTACATATAACCTCAAGAGGTTTCTCAAAAAACACAGATCTTAAAAGTTTCTTAGGTCAGTTACGTAAGGTCGAGTTGTGGATTGATTCTGAGGATTTCAAGCTTTAAATGACAAGAAAGAGAAACTGGCTTTCATTCTTACATATGTATCAGGAACTCACTTATCCAACTACTTGTCACTCAGAAAGAAACTCCATTTTCCATGGCTGAGAGGAATATCCTGGATTAAGGTTTTCTCTCTGGGCTCAGGACTAGCAAGTGGCATTCTCAGAAAGTCAAGCCTCTTTCTCTTGCAACCACATAAGAAACAGACAAGGCTATAACTTTCCCAAAACTGAAAATGGAAAACACAAAAGCATGTTTGTACATTTATTATCATCAAGAGCACTATAACTTACATGCTGGGCCCCCCAATTTCATGCATGACCCAGATCTCAATTCGCGTGATCTTATCCTTCTGGAAGTATGGGATTTCATAATCTGCAAAATAACTGAGAAGCAGGAGGACATTTTAAAATTCTTAACATAGAAAGATACTTTCTCCATTTCAGTTAGTCGATTTACACATTACTTTAAAAAAAAAGGCTTTTAGTGCATTATTAACTTTTTTTTAAGGTTATTTAATTCATGCATTCAGTTGTTAATAGTTTAACAGTGCAGACAAGGCTCCACTCCAATCACCACACTGCTCAAGTAGTTTGCTTTACTTGAATATGCAAAAGCAAGCATTAAATCGGAGATTAGGACGATTCTTTTTAGCCTCCACTCAAAACAACTGCCATTCTCTGTTGTATTTGTTGGTGCGGTGTTCTTACCCTTTAATGGGATAGGCTCCTGTTTGCTCTGAACCATTCAGCATGACGTAGATCACCCCAGAGCTATCCTTTGAATACTGCAAGAAGAGATAACCATTTTGAGCAAAGTAAGACATCATTTTTCTGCTATGAAATGCATATCTTTTTAAACTGACAGTTCTCAGTATTGGCAAATTTAGCATTTCACATGCTAGTAGGGTTGAAAACTGGCTTGTTTTTTTGGGGGAAATTACACTGAAATATAATTTCAGTAAAAGATTCATAGACAAAGTAATTCTGTGTCTGGGAATCCACCCTATAAAGATGATACAAAATATACAGCATTGTGTCAGCTGGAATAAATTAGATTAAGCTGCCATAACAAACAGTCAGAACGACAGTGGTTTTGAACCACAGATTTATTTATTTTTATTTTGAATTGACACAAAATAATTGTATATATTAATGGAGTAGAGTCGAGGTGTGAAAACGTGCACAATGTATAACCATCGAATTAGGATTATTAGCATACCCATGGACTCTAACATTTATCATTTCTTTGTGGTTTCGTGTTCACGCTGCACATTTATCGTAAGTCTATTGGGATTTTTACTCTTGGACCCAACTGATGACGTTTCCCCAACTGCAAAGTCACTGATTATGACTGATTTTCCGGGAAAAGGGAAAGGTGACAAATCAAAGATCAGTTCTTACAGGCTTCTACCCAGAAGTCATATGTGCTTTTCCCACTCACAGCTTACCGGCTAGCATTAGTCACATGTAAATAACTTCAAGAAATATGTGAGTGCAAACTGTGGGTCCAGAAGACAAGTCAGAAATACCTGTTCACAGCACTGAGGACTACCACAAGCAGGGTGTACAAAGATCCGTAGGGCATCATTGTTTGTAATACAGATGTATTTTAACCAATTTAAAACGCTCAACAGCAATGAAATGTTAAGTCAACTATGGTGCTTATAATATTAATCAGCCATCAGTAAAAGTGTATAAAACATCTGTAATAACATAGGATGCACTAACACTTAAAACAAAAGGCAAGACAGGTAAAGCATGACCTCTACTATATCAAAAAATACTAGGGGGACCAGCAGTTAGCGTAATGGCTATGTCGCTGGACTCCCATGTAGTCGACCGTGGTTCACATCCCGGACCTGGTGGCTTAAAACTCACACCAGGCACGTGTGCGTGCGTGCCCAAGATCCTGAGAGGAGAATGGAGGAGAAGGGATTACAGCATGACCATCCCCTCTGGGGGGTGATTTCTCACTTTCTGTCTCTCTGTCTCTCTCTGTCTGTCTGGCGAGCGCACGTGCCCTATAGCAAAAACCTCTCAAAAAAGAGAAAAATACTAGGGACCTCGGGGCTTGTAGTGGCGTCGTAGTTAAGGACACTGGACTCCCACATGGCCGACCGCAGTTCAGGTCCTGGACCTGGTGGATTGCTTTCTCACTTCCCCCCCCCTCTCTTTCTCCGTGCTGTCCTCCTCTGTTCAAATTAAAATAAATAAATAAAGTTAAATAAGAAATAATTCTTAAAAAAATACTAGAGACCTCAAAAAGTTCATAGAAATGTATATTATAAAAAACAACAACTATGGGTTGTGGGGTTTTTTTTCGGCACCAAAATAAACTCAAACTTTAATTCTATTTTTAAAAATAATTATTTATTTAACTTTGTTTATTATCATTATTTTTTATTTCACCAGAGACAGAGAGACAGAGAGAGAGAGAGGGAAAGTGAAAAAGCCAGCTGCCAGGTCCAGGACTTGAACCGTGGTCAGCCATGTGGGAGTCCAACGCCTCAACAATCCTGCCACCTGCTGGCCCTTAATTCTATTTTTTCTATGAACTTTTTTATGTCCCCTTATAAATGGGTGAAAGTCTAGGAATTCCCAAGGGAAAAATAGATCCAGAGAAATCTCCAAGTCACAATTTCTCTCACAAAATGTTTATACTATTAGGTTGTTGGGAAAGTCATGACTTATTTTTCTATGCAAAAACTCACCCTCCCTTTAGCAAAGTGATGCCCCAAATCACCTGCACCAACAGCAATATACTCAATGTCATCAATGTTACAGATTACTTCCAAACAGTAGTAGCAGTCGTAGTTCAGTACTCAAATGCTCAGTTAAAGGACCACTATACTAAAGAGGTAACTTTAGGTGGTAGGAATGTGGAATATTAATTTTTTCATTTATATTTCATGTACTTTGTCATTCTTTACTATGAACATCTAATAGGTTGGCAATAAAGAAAAAGTTAATCTGCCTCCTCCCACCATAATTTCTTGAGGTGGGAGGGAAGGAATATAGGCGGCCACAGCAGCATGGAAAGAAAAGAAAAGAAAAGAAAAGAAGAGAAGAGAAGAGAAGAGAAGAGAAGAGAAGAGAAGAGAAAGGAAAAGAAAAGAAAAAATAATCTAAAAAATGTATGCAGATACAATGAAGTTGTATACTATAGTGGCTAGGAATTTAACCACATGGTTCTCCTACTTACTGGTTCTCAATCTTAGTAAAGTTTCTTGATCTCTCTGTATCTTATTTTTTCCTATCAATAAAACAATAGTAATAAGAATCTTTATCACATAGGATTGGTGTAAAAATTAAAATATTTACAATAATAACTATTAACATTTACTGAATACTTATCTCCTAAGGTTCAGTCCCTCTCCTCATCACACTGTACTACTTCCCCTCATGCTTAGACTCAGTTTTCTACCTCCTTCCTTCCCATTTAATAATGGTCCCCACATCTAGATCTCAGGTGTCTCAGTGTCTTATGTGAAGCAGGGATGATCCCATTTTACAGAGCACTCAAAATCACATTGATATGTAGTACTAAGAACAATCAAGGCAAAATAGAAATAATAATGACTGTTTTTATATTCTCACATATAGCTAACATTTACCAAATGTTTTCTCTATGCCAGACTCCACATTAAGTTTTTTATGTTGTTGTTTGTTTTCATTTTTGCTAGAGGTTGAGAGCATGCACTTGTCAGAGAGACAGAGAAAGAGGAGAGGAGAAAACCCCACCCCACCCCATGGGGAATGGTAATACCACAGTCTCTTATACTCTCTCTCTCTTATTTAAGGATTTTGGTTGTGCACACGCACACACTCAGCACGTTTCTCAACCCATTGGATCTGGTACTCGACCCTTGTGGCAGGCCAAATGGGATCTGGCTGCCTTAACCACTAGGTCACAGAGCCAGCCTGTGTTAAGTGTTCATTTCCCCAAATCCTCACAACTTCGTGGGGCAGAGACTGAATCAGAATGTTGTAAAAGTGGAAAGTGAGGCTCAGAAAAGTTAAATAATGATCCAGAGTCCTAATCTCTAAGTCCTTCAGTTCCACATTCACGGGTCCTACACATGCTTAGCCACTGAGTCGTCCTTCCCATGCCCAGGGTTACCTGCATGGATGCCCTCTTCCAGAAGGAATCCACAGGATTATTTTCACAATCTTCTGATGTAGGGCAGGATTGGTAATCAAGTTCTAAAAGCAAAACCAACACACATGCGTCATTGAAAAGAATTCTTCAGAAAAGATTAATTTTAAATATTTTCTGGAACCACAAAACTTGCTTAACTTGAATTTTGTACAATGTGCACAAGTTTACCATCCACAGTTCTGCCCCTGCCCTCATCCCAGTTCACAAGGGGCCTGTTAAGAGTGCCAACCTGATCCATGATACAAAAACGTTTGTCATTTTGCTTGGCATATATGCGAGGAAGGCAGAAAACTAAGCAGTGGGCTAGGGAATGAGCCTAACCAACCACAGAGTATCACAATGTTAGCTGGACTATTTCTCTACAAGAGCTCACAGAAAACAAACAAACAAAAAGCCAACTTCATATTATTGGGAGAAGTGCCTCCTCAGGAAAAAAAAAGAAATCCCTTCTTAGCCCTGGTCTTAGAAATAAATACAGAAAAATAGACCAAGAAAGTGACAGTCTTTAGCTAGAAAATAGAAATTATATAATATTTAAAAATACATAAAATGCTCAGGGACCAGCAGGTGGCATAGTGGCTAAGGCATAGGACACTCCCACGTGGCCAATAATGGTTTGAATGCCAGACCTGGTGGCTTGCTTTCTCTCTCTCTCTCTCTCTCTGGTAAATTAAATGAATTAAATAACTATTTAACACACACATATAATGCTAACATATATTAAAATTTTAAATTTAAAAATATAATTCAGTAAATCTATGGGATGTGAGATGTTCTTACCATTTACTTCCTAAGAAAGGAGAAAGTGGTAATTAACAAGTTATTCTTCAAAATGGACCAATTAGGGCAAAATGTATACATTCTAAAGGGAATTGCTATTACGGAGGCAATGCAAATTTACTGATTCCCAATGCTTTTAAATAGTTCTGAAAAAAGGACAGGCCTTCAGAAGAAGACTGAGTCCTCCATGGGAGCTGAGATCTAGTGCTTTCAGGGAAAAGAGAAATGAAGATGTTCTGCTGAGAAGTCACCCTGTCTCCACACACTGTCTAGACAAGTCTAAGTGAAACAAACCCACGCATCCAAATACTATTCGGATGAACATATTCCTCGATTCCCACAGAATCTGTGGCACAAAGGGAGAAAAATGAAATGGCAAAGGACTTGCACATCACCTCCTCCTGTGCCCCTCTGATCACTCAGTTTGAACTTCTAGAAACTAGGAAGAAACGAATAACCCATCTGATGACTAGAAATCACTGCAGAAGCACAAAAAAAAATGAGAAACCAAAGAAAATACCTTTCTCCCAAGGGGAAAGAATAACTCCTCTTCATCCACAGACAGTAAAATGGAACTCGCAGAAATATCTGATAAAGAATTTAGAATATTCATAGCGACAAAGCTAATAAAGATAGAAGGGAAGAGAGACAACGAACTACAGAAGAAAAGAGCTGACGAGTTCCAGGAGGTGAGGAAATTCATGTGAGAGCAGAAAGAGGAAATACATACCATGAAAAAGAATTAAATGGAACTGTTGGGTATGAAGGTTCTAATATAGGAATTCAAAACCTCTGTTCAAAGTATTAAAAGTGGGACCAGCAGTTGGCATAATGGCTATGTCACTGGACTCCCACGTAGTTGACCACAGTTCGCATCCCAGACCTGGTGGCTTCAAACTCACACCGAGCGCGTGTGCGTGCGTGCCCAAGATCCTGAGAGGAGAATGGAGGAGAAGGGATTGCAGCGTGGCCATCCCCCCTGGGGGGTGATTTCTCGCTTTCTGTCTCTCTGTCTCTCTTTGTCTGGCGAGTGCACTCGCCCTATTGCAAAAACCTCTCCCAAAAAAAAAAAAAAGTATTAAAAGTGACTTCCATCTCCAGACCCCTGGCCTAAAAGACACTGTGGTAGGGTCCCCTGCCCCAGCTCCAGCCCAAGCACCCCAAAGCCCAGAGACTTCCATCTCTGTCAGCGAGGGCTGCCCTCAGCTCTACAGCAACCTCACTTCCATCTCCAGACCCCTTGTGAAATCACGCACCACACTAGCACATGACACACTTTTTCTTTATTCTCCTTGTTATTTTCTTCCCACTTATTTTGTCCTCTCTTCCTCTTTCTCTGCCCTCCAGGATAGTCTAGATAGGTCTAGAATCACAGTTCTGAAATACCCTAGTATTGTAAGACTCTCTGGGATCCTCCCTTTTACTGTACCACCTGCAAGAAAGGAGATACTGCTCTTCAGACACCTGAGTAGAATATTCCTCCTTGGACCACATTGCTAAACACAACAGAAGAGAGACTTCAGCACTCATGAGTCCATAGCAAAAGGGAAACACACTTGCTCCTAGTCAAAGAAACATTCTCCTAAAAGGTATTCCAAAGTGAATACATCTCCCAATGGCTAGAAGTAGAAGAAGAGCCTCAGGGCTGAATAAAACAGGAAATATGTCTCCATCAAAAGAACCCAATGACTCTCTTCCATTTCTCGAAAAAACAGACTCGAAGACATTACCAAAATGTCTGAGAAAGAATTTAGAACATTCATGGTGACCAAATTCTATGAGTTGAAACAGAAAAGAGACAATGAACTACAGGAGTTTAGGAAGTCCTTCCTCAATATGAAAGAAAAAATGGGCATGCTAAGAAAGAATCAGATGGAACTATTAGAGATGAAGTCTGTAATACAGGAAATCAAAAACTCTCTCAAGGGACCAGCAGTTAGTGTAATGGCTATGTCACTGAACTCCCATGTAGCCGATCACGGTTCAAGTCCTGGACCCGGTGGCTTAAACTCACTCCAGGTGTGTGGGCATGCCCAAGATCCTGAGAGGAGAATGGAGGAGATGGGATTGCGGTGTGGCCATCCCCCCTGGGGGATGATTTCTTGCTTTCTATCTCTCCGTCTATCTCTTTCTGGCAAGCACACACATCCTATAGCAAAAACCTCTCAAAAAAAACACAACTCTCTCAAAACTATTAAAAGTCGATTAGACTATGCGGAAGATCGAATCTCTGACATAGACGATAAAACCTCTGATATAAAGAAAACCACCAAGAGCATAGAAAAAATAACAACAACAACAAAAAAGAACGCAAGGATAATATACAAGAAACACTATATTCCATTAGACGCCCTAACATTCAAATAATTGGTATACCAGAAGGTGAAGAAACTAATAAGGGCATGGAAAATCTATTCCATGAAATCCTGGAAGAAAATTTCCCAAGTCTAGAGAGGCACTCAAACATCCAGACCCAAGAAATACAAAGGACTACAAATAGAATCAATCCAAGATCTTCCCCAAGGCATGTCCTAGCCAGACTCGCAAAGACCACAGATAGACAAGATACTAAAACTAGCAAGAGAGAAATGATAAGTGACTTACAAAGGTAATCCCATCAGGCTAACACCAGACTTCTCAACGAAAACAATGCAAGCAAGGAAAGAATGGGAAGACATATTGAAAGTGTTAAGAGAGAAACAATTTCAACCAAGATTATTATATCCTGCAAGATTATCCCTCACATGGAAAAAAAAAAAAGATTAAAATCTTCTCAGACAAACAAAACCTGAAAGAATTTGCCAATACCAGACCAGCTCTTCAAGAAACCCTGAAGAAAGTACTGTTCCAGGAAAACTAAAGAATTAACAGTCAGAAACAAAGAAATAAAGGCAACTAAGACAATGGCCAACTTAAACGTCAGGACAGGTCTGGTAACATTGATAATAACATTGAATGCTAATGGATTAAATTCTCCAATCAAGAGACACAGACTGGCTGAATGAAAAAAAAGTAAAATAAAAAAAATAAAACCAGAAACCCTCTATCTGTTGCCTACAGGAAACCTACTTAATAGTTAAAGACATACCTAGACTGAAAGTGAAGGGTCGGAAAAAGGTTTTCCATGCAAATGGGAACCAAAAGAGAGCTGGAGTCATGGTACTAATTTCTGACAAAACAGGTTTTAAAACAAAAACCATTCAAAGAGACTAAGAAGGTACTATATTGTAGTAAAAGGGTCAATAGATCAAGAAGATATAATGCTTACAAATATCTATGCGCCTAACACAGGAGCACCCAAATATATGAAGGAAACACTGTTAGATCTAAAAGGGGAGATAGACAGCAACACACTAATTATTGGAGATCTCAACATCGCACTATCCCCTATGGACAGATCATCTAGACAAAAAATAGGTAAAGAGATGAAAGAGCTAAACAACAAATCAAATGGACTTAACAGACATCCATAGAACTTTCCATCCAAAAACCAAGAGATACAATTTTTTCTTCATCCCCATATGGAACCTTCTCAAAGGTTGAACACATCATAGGGCACAAAGCAAGCCTCTGCAGATTCAAAGGCATAGAAATTATATCCAGCATCTTCTCCGACCATGATGGAATTAAACTTGAGTTTAATTGCAAGAGAAATCTTCAAAAATACTCAAATGCATGGAAACTAAATAATCTACTCCTGAATGACTCCACAGCTACTGAAGAAATAACAATTGAAATCAAAAGATTCATGGAAGCCAATGACAATGAGGACATGAGTTTCCATAATCTTTGGGACACTACAAAAGCAGTCATAAGAGGGACGTTCATAGCAATTAATGCACATAAGAGGAAGATGGAAAGAAGGCAAATGGATTGCCTAAAATCATGCCTCAGAAAAGCAACAGCAGGGAACCAGCAGTTAGCGTAATGGCTATGTCGCTGGACTCCCACGTAGTCGACCGCGGTTCGTGTCACGGACCCGGTGGCTTAAAACTCACGCCGGGTGCGTGTGCGTGCATGCCCAAGATCCCGAGAGGAGAATGGAGGAGAAGGGATTGCGGCGTGACCATCCCCGCTGGGGGCTGATTTCTCGCTTTCTGTCTCTCTGTCTCTGTCTGGCAAGCGCTCGCGCCCTATAGTGATAAGCCTCTCCAAAAAATAAATAAATAAATAAAAAAGAAAGAAAAGCAACAGCAAAAAGATCCAAAAAACTTCAGGACAAAGGAAATAATAAAGATACGAGCAGAAATAAATGAAATAGAAA